CTTTTTTTTTTTTACTTTCTTTCCTTTCATTCACGCACGACATAGCTACACGGCGCGCCGAACAACACACACACACATGAACAGGCGAGCCGTGTACCTATGGGCATCGCTACACCACTCTCGAAATGTGCAAAATGAGAATGAACTTCCCCCTACAACATGGCCAGATGCAAGTGCCGCATTTTTGTCTTTTCCACATTTCGAGAGTGGTGTGGCGAGGCCCTATCACACGTTTGCACCATAGCACACACACACACACACACACACACACACACACACACACACACACACATACACATACACACACACACACACACTTGTCCACATTCTCTCTGACACACACGCACACACACACATACACATACACACACTTGTCCACATTCTCTCTGACACACACACACACACATACACGCACACATGGGTTTACTTCGTCTCATTCTCTCTAACACACACGCACACATACCCACACATCGCCATACTTCGTCCCATCTCTCCATTTTCTTTCATTCACGCACGCCATAGCTACACGGTCCGCCGAACCACGCACACATATACATGAATAGGCGAGTCGTGTACCTATGACACATGTGCGCCATAGCACACACAAGCACACACACTTGTCCACATTCTCTCTGATACACACGCACACACACACACACACACACACATTGGTTTACTTCGTCTCATCCTCTCTGACACACACGCACACATACGCACACATCCCCATACTTTGTCCCAGCTCTCCATTCTCCAATTTTTTTCCCCTTTTTTTCTCCTTTTTTCCTTTCTTTTTAGCAAGCAATGGGCGACGGCCTTGACCTCATCTGCCCCAGGCAACTCATCGAGTTCCATCATCTGGATTCGAGCTTGGGTCTGTACTTCAATACTTCATGGATGCAGTCATTCAAAAAACGTCCACCCCACAAAAACCAGAAAAACGCGGGAAAACAAAACCAATATAAAAGACAATAAAAGAAAAAAACAAATCGAACTCAGAACCAAAGAAAAAAAAACACAATCGAAGGGAAAAAAAACT